AAATAATGCTCATCAAAAGGATGAGAGTCTGCTCTATATAAAACAAAAATCATTGACTTTATTTTATTTTACATTTTTGCATTTATGAGGAAAAATCTTCAGGATGGATGTGACATTTCTCTGTTATGCATGTGACAAATGTGAAATTGGCATGTGTGTGACTTTAGGAAATCAAATATTATTGTTTGATTTGACAGATACATTTTTGAGTAGTTTTACAGTCCTGTAAAATACAAGCATACAAAAAAACGTAGGGTTTTGCTATTTTGGTAAAAACATATGTTTTTTTCATGGCAAGGTTGACATTTGCATGGAATCGCTCACATGTTCTGCATGATTGTAAGAGGGTTGTGACCTGTAACAATTAGTAACAGTAGTTTTGATTTGCATCATTGCATTTTTTATGTTAAAGACAGTGGCGTAGCGGACGGGCCCGCAGGGCACGCACCGCGGGGGGGCCCCGCGTGATTAGGGGGCCCCGCGTCGTCGCGATTTTCAATAAACTGTTGGGAACAACTGTGGTCGGAACCAAAGTTCACACGTCTGTGTTCTCTGAACACCTCTCAAGCGGTGGACTACTTCATTCTGATTGCTTGCCGCCAATGTTGCCAACTTAGCGACTTTGTCACTAGATTTAGCGACTTTTCAGACCCCCCTAGCGACAAATCTAGCGACTTTTTTGTGTGTTATTGGAGATTTTTTTAGACTGTCATTTTTCCATACCGTACCGTCCCTACTCTTCTCAACGAGCTGCGTGTGATGCCGCCAGTCCCTCCCCCGCCTCACAGCACTGACAGGCGGCTCAGTCAGTCCTCATACAGCAACCTCTCCCACCTGCAGCCCGAGAGCAGATCACCCCTCTGCGTACCGACGACAAATGATTTAGCAAAGGCAGTGTGAAGGTATTTCCCTTGTACAGTCAAACCGATCTACTTCTCCTTTATTTTAACAATTTACTTGGACCGTTTATTCTTTTCTTGTTCACAATCACATATATTTTAGTGACAGTTTCTGAACTTGTCTGAATTTATTTCATATGAGAGATTACTGCACATTCACTATCGTTACACATCTATAATGATATACTGTATTCAAACAGCAATAAATGTAGTTAAATAAACATGCTTATATAAAGTGTAGTGCAATTATAAATACCCCTTTATTAACCATATGCTGTTAAACAGAAACGGTAGAACGTGATGACGTCAGTGATATGCAAATTGACGTATGACGTACCCCCCCAACCCCCCCCTCCCCCCCCCCCCCCCCCCCCCCCCATCATCACGGGGCCCCGTCAGCGATCCCTGCAGGGGGGCCTCCGCATTTTGCGCTACGCCACTGGTTAAAGACCTCAGGATATCTAAACTAGAGTTTTGTGGATTTTAGGCTATGGCTAGATTAAGAATGCTTCATGTATTTTCTGCAAAGCTGTTTTTTGAAATTATGTGCATTATGAAGGCAGGTATATATACTATATGCTGTAGCAGTAATAATAGTGTAAGTAGTATCATAGCACTGAATTGGGCCAATGACTGAACTGTTGAGGTCATTAAAATATTAGAAAATGCAGATTTCTTAAAGCTTTTTCTACCAGGAAAATTGACCAAATCATAACTTTCTGAAATTGGCCTACTAACTACAGTGCTTTCCAGAAAGACAACATGTATTGCTTGTCCCCTAACTAAAAGAATGGTTTATCATTGTTAATGTAGAAATTCTTTAACATTTCTATGTTATATCTTTAATCATCTGTAGGTTTGTACAAACGTTTAATCTCTGTTCTTCCCAGTATACTCCACCAAGTGTGTTTGTTGTGGAGCTAAAACTAAGTTAAACTAAAGGCAGCTTAAGTTAAAAGTGATCTCAAACCTAAAGTTCCTGTTCAAGGGTAACACCTAGAAGAAAGCGGATCATCAAATAATTTAATAGGGTATTTTTTGGTCATTGCTGCATAATAATGATCTGTTAGGTGCTGCTGTTCCAACTAACCCAACCAAACTAATGGGTCCAGTACTCAAACCATTAAACAGACTTGCTATCTAGTGTGCGTTATGTGTTCGAACTCTGGGAAGTTTAGTTTTCTCGCCCTTCCTGTCTTGCCCACTGATTAGTTTACATGAGTCCTGAAGTGATCCTCACATCCTCAAGTGTGCAAGCTACTGAAATAAATCCCCATTAGCATTTCTCTCAGGCACTTTTAGTTAGATGGAAATACAGTTTGTATTATGACTGTATGATATTGGAAAGATCTGACATTGCCATATTTAGTTTTTATGCAATATGTAAATTGTGATTCACCCAATGGATCGGAAGCTCTGTATGGATAGAATTTATTCGTTTAGATTGGTTGGGATAATCCTGCAGAGGAGTGAATCATGCATGAAATTAAAACACAAAACAATTTAACTTTAATAAACAGTGGTTTATGGTTTTCTGGGAAATCAAGTCGAACCATATTCAGGTACAGAAAATGAATAATCAAATGTAAAATAAAACCGCATAGTCATCATTGTATAAAAAAATCCAAATCCATTAAATTCATCTTTATTACAGTTTCAAACAATTTCTTTCACCTGATTTCTTTAAATGCTCACACAGTCACAGGCCTTTCACTTGCTTTAAGCCTGGTTCATACTTCTGCGTCAAGTGACCGGCGTGACCCACGGCGCATGCAACGCGCGTAGCTGTGCATTTATACTTCAGCGCGCTGTCTCTGCTGGTCTGAATTAACACTTCCGAAACGCTAGTGGGCAGTGAGGTGTTAAAGCAAAAATTTTCATCAGGAGCTCCTTCACGGGACTCTACACTTGTAAACAATCGCAGTAAACAATCAGGCTCGCGTCCAGCTCGCGCCATTCGCACGGCTCTCGGTCCCGCCCAGACCCGTCAGCGCTACTAAGCCGACCAATCACAGAGCTTGTGCTATGCATCGTTGCGACATATAGATACAATTTTTGAGAGGTGCAGGTCAGCGACGGCGAAGGGCTATGCGTCAGCGCCGTAGCATATGCCGGCGTTTGACGCAAAAGTATAAATCAGCCTTAAAGCCTGATTTATACTTCTGCGTCAAGTGACCGGCGTAACCCACGGCGCATGCAACGCGCGTGGCTGTGCATTTATACTGCTGCGCACTGCCTCTGTTGGTCTGCATTAACACTTCTGAAACGCTAGTTGGCAGTGAGGTGTAAATGTTCCTCTGTGTCGAGTTTCTTCGCTGCTTTTTTGCTTTTCCTGAACACTTCAGGGATGTACAAGTGGCTCAAACTCACTCATTTTGAGGCAGCAACCGGCGGACGTGCAACAACTTTAACTATGAGGTAAACACAAAACAAAACTTTCCATCTGGAGCTCCTTCACGGGACCTCCACACTTGTAAACAATCGCTACATTGGGTTCGCGCGACTCTTGGTCCCGCTTCGACTCGTCAGCGTAACCAAGCCGACCAATCACAGAGCTTGCGCTATGCGTTGTTGCGATGTGTAGTTACATTTTTTGAGAGGTGCACGTCAGTGACGGCGACGGCCACGGCAAAGGGCTATGCGTCAGCGCCGTAGCATACGCCGGTGTTTGACGCAGAAGTATAAATCAGCCTTAAGCCTGATTAACACTTTGCTTAGCGCCCATCGCGGACCTCCGCCGACTGCAGGCGCACCTCACAAAACGGATGAGCCTTTTATACTTGACGTGTTCGCCCTTGAGATAATCTTTAAAACAAAAGGGGGTGCTCAAAAGAAACTGACCGTAAAGTCAGATAAATAAATGAAGTAGACTGTTTCTAAAAATACATCATATCATTAATATCATTCAAGAACTAATTATTTTTATAAATTGTTATAATGATTTTTATAACCATTCAAGATTTTTCTTAAATCAAACTGCTTTTGTTCATATCTCAGACAGTTTTACCTATTAAAGTTTATTAAAATATTAATGACCAGAGAACATGAGTTGCTCTACAAATATATTTTTATTATGGCTAGAAAAAAAAAAGAAAATAGTACACTTACTAAAAAATACAGATTTTAAATTTTTTTTTTTACTGACTTTTTTTTTTTTTTTTTTAAATATTTAGCCCACTCCACAATTGACACATTACTGTCTGGCTAGTTTTTGTCCTCTTCTTATGCTAAAAAGGCAATAATGGTCCAACATTCCTCCCCATTCTCACCAATAAAGCCTAGAAAAATAGGGGCACCAGTATATTGTAAACTCATAGGTTCAAATCTTCCTTTCCAGTTATTAAAGACATTGTTTGTTCCTTAATTATAGTTTTGGAACTATTTAATTGTTTTAAATTCAAAATAGTAATATACATCAGTGTAAAACTGTAAATGGTGGAAAAACATATTCTGTAATTGTGTACCTGGGTCTCCACTTTTGCCCTGGCCTCTTTTGGCTTTAACAATCTTATCCTTCAGGTTTTTCCAAATTTTTAACAAAAACTTTCCTCCTTTCCCACAGCAGTTGCAATTTCTAGCCAAGAATTATTGGTCATCTGGTTCTGCATATGATCATGCATGGACTGATCATGAAGATGTTTGTACAGGCAAACCTGTTTCAGACAAAATCTCTTCAAAGTGATTCATATTTAACTGAAATCAAACACAGCACCACACGAACTGTTCGCTCGAGTCTCTAAAAAAATTGTGTGCTCCGCCAGCTGAAGCACCCAAAGTGAACCTCTGCACACTCACACTCACACTCACATCACACTCAAGTGAACATGACGAGTATAAACTCTGCAGTGACTCCACAAATCTCATGTGTTTTGAACTGCTCAAATATAATCCCAACTAAACATTGCACATTCTGCAATGTGACTATTGTGGATGCTCTCATTGGGATGAATCAATATATTGCACAGCCCTAGTTTGTATGTATTGAAATACTCCCTGAATCTTCTACTTAAGTTGTCTTGTGAGCGCACCCATCGTGAAGTGAGGTTTCAGCAGGGCACTTGTTTTTGTGTTTCTCATATGCATGTGTTTGTTTGTCCACAGACGTCTCTGCTCAGGAGCAGCCGGAGTTGTTCCTGAAGAAACTTCAGCAGTGTTGTGCTGTGTTTGATTTTATGGACACTCTGTCAGACCTGAAGATGAAAGAATACAAGCGCTCAACCCTCAATGAGCTTGTCGATTATGTCACAGTCAGCCGAGGATACCTCACAGAACAGGCCTACCCAGAGGTCGTCAAAATGGTGAGTGAAAACACACGATTAATTATAGAGCTGCACAATATTGGAAATATATGGTGATATTTTGTTTTGCTGCAATATACAGTTTTATTAGCCCGCACTGAATTATTTTTTTCCCAAATTTTGCTTAACGTAGAGAAGATTTTTTCACATTTCTAAACATAAGTTTTAATAACTCATCTCTAATAACTCATTTATAATATCTTTGCCATCATGACAGTACATAACATTACTAGATATTTTTCAAGACACTTCTATACAGCTTAAAGTGACATTTAAAGGCTTAACTAGGCTAATTAGGCAAGTTATTGTATAATGATGGTTTGTTCTGTAGACTATTGAAAAAAAAAAAAGTTTAAAGGGGCTAATAATTTTGACCTTAAAATGGGTTTTAAAAAATTAAGAACTGCTTTTATTCTAGCCGAAATAAAACAAGTAAAACTTTCTCCAGAGGAAAAAATATTATGAGCCATACTGTTTTCCTTGCTCTGTTAAACATCATTTACTAAATATTTTAAAAAGAAAAAAAAATCAAAGGGGGGCTAATAACTCTGACTTTAACTGTATATTACAATATAAATATAATTTTTACCAGATGATTTGAATAGTTGTATTTGGAAAAATTTCCTTAGATCAACTGGGCTGATCAAGTGTTTTTCTATGCAGTAGATCTGCATAAAATGTAATAAAGAACTAGAAACATAAATATGATATTCTAAAGTACAAGCTAGAGGTTTAAACCTATACTGGTCTCACGGTTCGGTTCGGTTATGATGATCATGCCATCGATTCGGTTCAATTCGATATCCTGGTGCATCACAGTGCATTGACGATGCTTTCCATACACAGTGTTATATTTTGGTGGTGGGGGCTATAACAAGCTGTCTGTATAAACACACAGACACACAGCACCACACTGTCTCTCATCATAGACAGCACCAAACAAACAAACACACACACACACACTTAAGTCCTCACACTATGCGTTTAGCCGGGAGAGCTTGCGATGAGCGCAGCAAAGAAAAAAAAAACGAAACAAAAAAAAAAAAACGAAGCACTTTTCCTACAGTCCCTTACTGAGAGCTCCGCTCAGCGCAAGCTCTCGCGGCTAAATGCATATTGCGAGGGCTTAAACGGAGAAATGCTTGTAATGTCAAGCGAAAAAAAAAAAAGAAAAAGACAGCAGTGAAACATAACCAGCTTTGTTTTTTTTTTTGTATTAAACACACTTTACATCTTTTTAGGGTAAGAGGTTTTTGAGTTATTGCCGTCTATAACTGAATGTGTCAGGAATATCGAAAACAAAACCAACTTGACCGCGCTCATTTCTGGCGCCCCCCTGGAATTTCAGCGCCCTTAGCTTTTGCCTCTACTGCCTATGCCACCGGCCGGCCCTGAGTTGGTTCCTGGAGTGTTGTAAATACCCACGCTCACCTCCCTCGCAACAGAGCGCATAGGAGATAAATGACTTCAGTACATAATAACCGGTTATGATTCTTATTAAACCGATACCAAATTGTCCGCGTCTGCATCACGGTGCACCGAAGAAACAATTAATTTTGACACCCCTACAAGCAGTAAAAAAAAACGTTAAAAAGGAGGCCAAGCATAGCACGCACACACACACGTAAGTGCGTTGCTCCCAATATGCATGCACAAGCTGTGCATCTTCATTAAAAATAATGAACTTGTGCACCCAAAAGACTCAATATGTGAATGGGCCTTGGTTAATTGCATTAGCCATAGTTAATAAAATGACCGTAAGGATTAGCCTCTCTGTACAAGCTCGAAATATCAAACTAGCGCACAGTTGCCGTAACTTTGTTTAGTTGCAGCAGTTTTGTTCCGTGCAGAAACGCAGTGTTGAGTAGCCTTTATGATTAATTAACCATGACAAATTAAAGTGCGGTTAATAGTGGAATCAGTTAATCGATGCATTCCTAATCAAGATGACCAATATAATGCTGATAAACAGTGCAGTAATGGCTAAAGAGACATGCACAAGTGCTGTAATTAAACATACACGCATTTAAAGAGCTTTAAAAAAACACAAACTCCATCCATCCACTTTTACATTAAAAAATCTGCGCATGCTGACTCCCAGAGGCTGAAACAAGGCAAACTAATTGGATCTTGAGGTTTTAGGAAAGCTTGGGTGAAATGTTCATTAATTGGACAGTGAATGATAGGATATTTGATTCTCAAGTTGTCCACATTATGATAATTCGTGCATATCTCTCTCTTTCTCAGGTGTCCTATAATATATTCCGAACTCTTCCGCCCAGTGACAGTAATGAGTTTGATCCTGAGGAGGATGAACCCACTCTAGAGGCCTCGTGGCCACATTTACAGGTGTGTGTATGTGTGTGTAAAACTATTGTCGTGTACTCTGGTCCCTCTCTCCTTGTGTAGAGCTCCTGTCTGTTTGATTTAAGCATGTTTGTCTGTGTGTTGTTCGTACACACACTCTGACCTCTCTGTGTGTGTACTCACCGTATGCTTCCAGGACTCCTTTAGAAATGAGATGCATATCTCAAGGAGAATCTTCCTGGTAAAACTTTTCTCTTTTGTTTCATCATTAATCCCTGCTTTTGTCTTTTTTTCATCTGGAAAACAATTTTAAAAGTTCAGTTTTGAAAAGCCACATTCCCAGATATGTGTTCCTCGTCCTGTGTTATCATGGGAACAACTAACGGCGGCAGTAGCAGTGTCCTGTGACCTCAGTCGAACCATGACCTTTTTCCCCCACTTTGCATTTCTTCGTGCATGCCAAGTTTGAAGAGCTCCACCAAGTAACACACACCTCTCGTCTCTGTTCTCAGCTGGTGTATGAGTTCTTCATTCGGTTTTTGGAGAGTCAGGAGTTTCAGCCCAGCATTGCCAAAAAATACATAGACCAGAAATTTGTCTTACAGGTGAGAATGTTCATTTTTAAAAAGATTCTCCTTCATTTCTGCTTTATTTAAGTAGTGTTTGTTGTTTATCTTTTTGTTCATCTGTCTTTCTCTCAGCTGCTGGAGTTGTTCGACAGCGAGGACCCACGAGAAAGAGATTACCTGAAGACAGTCTTACACAGAATCTATGGAAAATTCCTGGGACTGAGAGCTTTTATACGAAAACAGATAAATAATATTTTTCTACGGTGAGGGATTTAACGTCAGCATTTGTATAGTATTAGGCCTAATGCGGAATGAAAAGCAAGCACTGATGTGTCTCTCTCCCATTCCTAGTTTTGTTTATGAAACTGAGCACTTCAATGGAGTCGCAGAATTGTTGGAGATTTTGGGCAGGTGAGGAGTATTTGCTTGTAATAGAAGTAGTGACTGATAGTTAATTTTTGGTATTGTGATGTACAGTTTAAACCAGAAGTTTACATACACTGTATAAAAAAGGCACATAACCATTTATAAAAAAAAGTCAGATGTTAATGTGACTAAACTTTTTCTCTTTTAGGTAAGTTAGGATTATCAAATTTGTTTATGTTATGCTTAATAGCAGAATAATGAGAGATATTTTTGAGAAATTGTTATAACTTATTGAAATTCAAGTTTACATACTATAAAATTATTATGCCTCTGAAAAAAAGCTCATTTTTGAGTTAATTGGAGGCACAACTGGAGAATAGTATTTAAGGAAAACCTCAAGCACACTGCTTCCTTGTGTGACAACATGGGAAAATCAACAAGCCAGAGTCAACAACAAAAAGCCAGAATACAATTTGCTAAATTACACTGGGAAAAAGACTAATTTTTGGTGACGTTTCCTGTGGTCTGATTGAATTAAGCTTAAACTGTTTGGGCATAATGACCAGTGTTACATTTGAAGGACAAAGGGGAAAGCTTACAAGCCTAGGAACACCATTCCAACTGTGAAGTATGGGGGCGGCAGCATGTTGTGTGGCTGTTTTGCTGCAGGACGGACTGGTCCACTTCACAGCACAGATGACATCATGAAAAAAAGAACATTATGTAGAAATACTGAAGCAACATCTCAAGACATCAGCCAGGAAAATAAAACTTGGCCACAAATGGGTCTTTCAAACAGACCACGACCCTAAGCATACTGCCAAATTAGTTAAAATGTGCTGTAAGGACAACAGAGTGAATATTTTGGAGTGGCCATCACAAAGCCCTGATCTCAGTCCTATAGAACATTTGTGGGCAGAGTTGAAAAAACTTGTGCGAGCAAGACAGCCAACAAATCTGACTCAGTAACACTAATTCAGTCAGGAGGAATAGGCCAAAATTTCTGCAAACTATTGTGAAAAGCTTGATGAAGGATACCCAAAACATTTGACCAAAGTTATACAGTTTAAAAGCAAAGCTAATAAAATAAATGTATGGAAACTTTTGACTGTCTAGAAATTAATAAAATAAAATAGTAAAAATAGTAATCGTTTAGTATAATTTACCATCAGACCTTTTTTTTAAAAAATGGTTATGTTTCTTTTTTGAGAGTGTATGTAAACTTCTGGTTTCAACTGTAGATATGAGTGAACCTGATTATTGAAACAAGGTTGCAGAATCTTGGTTCTTTCAGTTAGTTGTTGATTGGATACGTGCTAAAATAACCATTTGTTTTTAACGCTGTCAGTCTCTTGTGTGCACGTGAACATGGTGTGTGTGCACAAACTGCGGATAAGCGTAAACGCTGTGCAGATTTACAATTCTACATTTGTTGACAGACAGTTTGGGCTTCTTATCAGAATTATGGGAATTGTCCGCCCAACACATTTTAATTGGATGAACATTTTTTGTCTTATGCCTTACCCAGAATATAAAAATACATATAAATACATTTTGATCATTTAATTTAATCAGTACTATTGGAATGTAAAGAGACTTTCAACTAGCACAAACCAAAAATGTTTCTGAAGACAGTCACCTACTGCACCTTTAACGCTATGTACAGTAAAAAGATAAATGAATCGAAATGGAATTTAAATTTGTTTTAAAAATACTTCAGTGACCCTAAGTTTTGCATTGTTCCCCAAATTCTGCCATTGAAAGTTGTTTTTGTCTCCAATCAGTATCATCAATGGCTTCGCTCTGCCGCTGAAAGCTGAACACAAACAGTTTTTGGTGAAAGTTTTGATTCCTCTTCACACCGTCAGGAGCCTCTCACTTTTCCACGCACAGGTAACGCTTGTGTGATGAAACATTTAGATAAGTTTTTTTTTTTTTTTTTTCTTTTAGGACAACAGTATCTCCATCAGTAAGATTCTGTTTTCATCCAAAGATTCTGTTTTAAATTTTAAAAAATCTGTGTTTTTGAAACAAATTAAGACAGCAGAAGTCTATAATTAATATGAACTATTTCAGGGTTTTTGCAGGTTTTACCAAGGTAAATTTAAGACTTTTAAAGACATTTTTAAGACCACTATGGATGAAAGTTTACACTTATCAAGGGCTAAGGATTTTGTGAAACGGCCCATATGGAAGATGATTTTATTTGCCCTATCAAGAAAACAATGTTATAACTGAATATATTTAATTATATATATATATATATATATATATATATATATATATATATATATATATATACACACACAAAATTTTATTATTTTATTTATATTTTAGCCAAATATTTTAAAAATTTTATAAAAACAAGAAAGCTCTACTTGTATCTATATACTTTTTTCTAACATAAACTTTCTTAAAAAAAAAAAAAATTCAAATGTTTTAAAAGTTTTCAAAGGGTATAATAAACTAAATCTATGCACAACAATCTGTCCAGGTCGGTGTTCTCAGCAGTAAATAAATGGAGCACTTTTAAACAAATGTTATTGTTGGGAAAATAATTAAACCATTATAACAAAAAGAGTTAAAATCACATTTAAAAAACAATAGTTGAAACTTTTTGGATTGTTGGTGATTGTATGGGTTTTTACTAGATTGGGTGAAATACATGAACAAATGAAAATTAAGACCTGTTAAAAAAGATTTAAGACCCACAACACAATAAATCAGTAAATTTAAGACTTTTTAAGGCCTAAAATTTGGATTTTGAGATTTAAGACATTTTAAGACTTTTTAAGACCCTGCAGAAACCCTGTTTTCAGCCTGACATGTTTACTGTTTCAAAACATTTTAAATGTTTCCTAAAATAAAATATTTTGTGTTCAAAGAGAAAAAAGGTTTAGTTTTTTAATCAGACATTTTAAAACAATATATTTTAGAGCAGTAATCTCAATACTGTGAAACCGTGATGTTTATATCCAAGGTTATCATACCGTTAGAATCTTATACTGGCCCATGCCTAGTCGTGTGTGTGTGTTTACTTCCTGCAGTGAAATTACTGTTGTTTTTGCAGCTGGCGTATTGTATTGTACAGTTCCTAGAGAAAGACCCGGCATTAACAGAACCAGTAAGTGCATTAAATCTGTATAATCCGTGCATTTGTTTTGTTTATTTATTTCACCAGTTGCTCCTTTCTAACAGGTTATTAGAGGTCTGCTGAAATTCTGGCCTAAAACCTGCAGTCAGAAAGAGGTGAGACTGATGCATTCTGCTGAACTGAGTTAATTTACAGCATGAGGTTGATTGGTCGGGACAGTGGAAGCGTTGATGACGGTTTAAGATGCATTCACTGATGTACTTTACACTTTGTTCTGATTGTCTGCATCACTGTGTGTGTCTGTGTGTGCACCTTTAGGTCATGTTCCTAGGAGAGTTGGAGGAGATTCTGGATGTGATTGAGCCTACGCAGTTTGTGAAGATCCAGGAGCCTCTCTTCAAACAGATCTCCAGATGTGTCTCTAGTCCTCACTTTCAGGTCTGTCCAAATGAAGCTGGACCAATTAAAGTTATGCTACCTTAATTGTGAACCTGGACCACAAAATAGGCCTTAAATTGCAACAACATATATTTTTGCAATAGCCAAAAATACATTGAATCGATCAAAACTATCACTGTTTCTTTTATTAAAAAAATTATAATAATGACAAATATATATACAGCAAAAATGAATACACCCCCTTTTGAAAATGAATAGTTTTATCCATTTCTCGGTGAATATAATGTACAGTATTTGGTCCATTTTTCGAAAAGGACAGATACTACATTTAAATTCAAGCAAAATATTGCAAAAAATAAATAAATTATTTTTTTTATAAATATAAAATAAATAAACCTGCAAAATTACAACTTCATTTTAAACATATATATATATATATATATATATATATATATATATATATATATATATGTATGTTTTGTTTTGTTTTTTTTACATATTTTTACATTTTTATAGAAATGTTTATATTCAAAACATATTTAATATATTTTGGACTAAAAATTAATCAAATTTCTGAGCACTCAATTCAGACAAAATGAAAGTGATTTCATCAGTATTTATTTATTTTATATTTATTTATTTTTATTCCAGATTTTAAAATGGTTATATCTTGGCCAAATATTGATCTGTCTTAACAAAGCATACATCAATGAACATATTATTATAAATAAATAAAGAACAGAACAACCCAGAGACTTCACACACAGCTCTCGCATCATTCTTATAGTTATGTCTTTTTATGACACTTATAGTTACATTCTTGATAGCGCATACAATCCTATTGGTTCTCTCCCCATTCTAAATAAAAAAGGGGGAACGGGTATAATGAATGTAACCAGCAAAAACATAATAATAAAAATACACTAAAGCCTGATTTATACTTCTGCGTCAAGTGACCGGCGTAACCCACAGCGCATGCAACGCGTGTGGCTGTGCATTTATACTTCTGCGCGCGGTCTCTGTTGGTCTGCATTAACACTTATGAAACGCTAGTGGGCAGTGAGGTGTTAATGTTCCTCTGTGTCGAGTTTCTTCGCTGCTTTTTTGCTTTTCCTGAACACTTCCGGGATGTACAAGTGGCTCAAACTCACTCACTTTGAGGCAGGAACCGGCGGACGTGCAACAACTTTAACTATGAGGTAAACACAAAACAAAACTTTCCATCCGGAGCTCCTTCACGGGACTTCACACTTGTAAACAATCGCTCGCGCCTTTCGCGCGGCTCTCGGTCCCGCCCAGACTAGTCAGCGCTACCAAGCCGACCAATCACAGAGCTTACGCTACACGTCGTTGCGACGTGTAGTTACATTTTTTCAGAGGTGCACGTCAGTGACGGCCACGGCGAAGGGCTATGCGTCAGCACCGTAGCATACGCCGGTGTTTGACGCAGAAGTATAAATCAGCCTTAACTTAAGTATAGAATGTACAGTAGATTGCAATATAAAAAGCTCAAGAAACACGACATGCTCATTTCAAAGCACTCCATAATTGCTTATGCACTGTCCATTATTCTATGTGCAATGAACATTTTGACTAATTCTTGTAAGTTTTATTCATATTTTGTCTATGTGCAAAGGTCATTTTCTCCATATCAAATATATTTTTTACAATCATTTTCCAATTTTCTTCAAAGTCTGTTCTTACAAAAACTAGAAGGTTTATTTTCATTTTTTTAATGCATTAATGCTGCTTCTATGAATGCATGAAGCAGCTAAGAATACAATGCATCCAAATCCTAGATGAATCGTGTAAGTTTGTAAATGAATGTGTGTCCAGGTGGCTGAGAGAGCTCTGTACTACTGGAATAATGAGTACATCATGAGTCTGATTGAGGAGAACTCCAACGTGATTCTTCCAATAATGTTCGCCAGTCTTTACCGGATCTCCAAAGAACACTGGAACCCGTGAGTCAAACCTACACCACCAACACAATCTCTCAGCCTATAAATAATCTAGGCTCTTTTGTTCCAATCACATTTAATGTTTTCATATGTTATCCTTCCATAATTATGGTTTGTAAGATAAAGTTGTTTTGGGGCAATAAATGATTTTTTTTTTTTTAACTAAATATCAAGTAGTCGATTACAATCTTAATTGAATATAAATATTTGTTTGCCTTCTTTGAACTTTCTATTTATTAAGTGATAGAATTTGGTCTTTTTTTAACATCATTTATAATAAAAAATATTTATTGAGCAGCAAATCACCATAATTTCAAGAGGATGTGACCTCAAAGTTAGTATTAGGATTTTATCAGTTTTGTACAGAGGTGAACACTCAGCCTTTAAATGTTCAGTATATTTGTATGTTAATGCTTCACAATATTCTCATTACTGTTCAGCATTAATTAAATATTGCCATCTACTGGATTAAACATGCCCTGTTCTTCCAGTCCCAGTGTAATGTATGCTTAAAAGGTCTAATTCTTCTTTATTCTTCTTTTTTCAGGGCCATAGTAGCTTTAGTCTATAATGTTCTGAAGGCCTTCATGGAAATGAACAGCACTTTGTTTGATGAACTCACGTCCACTTACAAGTCAGATCGTCAGAGGTGCACTATTTCTATATTTTACTATTTACTCTCCCTTTACTTGTTCAAAACCTGTTTGAGTTTATTTATTCTGTTGATCACTAAAGAGGATATTTTAAAGAAAGCTGAAAACTTGTAAGCATTGACTTCCATAGTAATCAGTGGTTACAGTTTTCTTCAAGATATCTTCTCTTGTAATTAAACTGAATAAAGAAACTCAAACTGGTTTTGAACAAGTAAAGTGAGTAAATGTTGACTGAATTGTAGTTTTTGGGTGAACTATCTCTTTTAATATTTCTCATTTTTTTCCCCCCCCAATCTCTCAATTTTTCAGGGAGAAGAAGAAAGAGAAGGAGAGAGAGGAGCTGTGGAAGAGGTTGGAAGATCTGGAGTTGAAGAGAAGCCTCCAGACCGATGGAATTATTCCCACTTAACGAAGCGCTTCTCCTGGACCGCTTTTTCCCCCAACGCCTCCACCACACGCTCGGAACGTTGGCCACATTTCTTTTTTCTTTTTTGTATTTGTGCGACTTACTTTACCGTAGAATCACCTCGTCAGTCTCATTATTTCAAAAGCACTGTAAATAACTTTTATTTTATCCTCTCTTTTTTTTTCTCTCTCTCTTCCCCCTTAAAAATATAAAGCCGAAAAAGAACGTGACTAGAAAAGGAAGTAAAAAAAATAAAAATACGCAAAAAAATAAATAAACCCACACTGGAGGGGAATGGACTTTGAACAGACAGTAGGACTGAAACGAACGACTGCTGTTAAGAAAACGAAACAGAATCTCAACCCACCGATCTGACATACCTCACCCATTCTTGCTGAACAACACCAGCCCAATTCTCTCTCTTTCTCCCTCTTTCCTTACTCACTCCATCTCTTTCTCTTCCTCCTCATCTCAGCATTGGATCAACATCGGCCCACCTGCGTGTCCTGAATATCTGAAAGCAGAATTGTCTACCGTTGACCTTTTTTGATTGTCCTTCAACATCTGGATAAACGCTGCAGGTCTGGATTGTAGGCTGCTTCAAAGGGGACACTATGCAGTAACCAGCAGAGAAGAGGAAGTGGACATATGTAACACACACACACACCAGCTCTTTTTAATTTTCCTCCCCTTTTCGTTCTTTCTTTTTTTTTTTTCCTGTCCAAATGTGCCACCTGGTATACTTGTTTGGACTCTTTAGCACCAGTCCGGTACTGGTACCAGTAAATGAGAGACACACACACACACGTACACACATCTGAGGGAGTGTTCTGAATTCCAGCAGCAAATCGGAGATGCTTGTCATAAGAAACGGAACTGCACGTGCACACACACACATTCTGCGTTCGAGTGTGTGAGGGAGTTTCTTACAGTGTTAAGTACCTGTATACTGTATCTGACTGCAGTACTTTGATACTCTGTATCTAGTAGAACCTTTAGCGTATTTTTCTTTAGGAGAATCCAGTATATGATGAGGAAAGTTCGAACACGGCCTCTTGGGATTTACGTTTTCTTTCTTTCTCGGGTTTCACTTCTAATTTGTTTTGGGTTTATTTTTATTTTGTCTGGATTTGGTTTTTTTTTTTTTTCTTTTTGACCAAGTGGAATTTGTTCTCTCTCTTCCTTTTTATTTTTTACTTAGTTGCTGATTGGGGGAGGGGGGTGAGTGAGAGCGGGATTGTGGAGGACTGATGCTGTGGTGAGCTGTGTCAGAATTGAAACCTGTGCTTTAGAAAGCCCCAGACATCAAACGATTACAAAAGTTAAAAAGGGTCGGAGAAATACAAATGTTTAATTATTTTAAAAAATAAAGAGATATTAAATTAAACCTGTTTTGTGATAAAGATGAAATGCACATTTGCTTTATTTGTGATGTGTGTATGTGTGGAAGAAATTGCACAGCTTGACGTACAGTGCTCAGCATATATAAGCACACCCCTCACAAATCTATCTTTTAATATTTTAAATAGAAGGCTTTAAAATATTATATTTGTGCACATACATTAGATTAGTCAATGCTGAAGCCAAATCTGGAGCTAACCTAACAAAATAACTTACGATAACGGTTCAAAAACTAGCACACACAAATTATTCACTGTAAAACCCAACAGTCAACTTTATCAAATGAAATGAGTGTAGTTAACTCAATGTACTAAAAGTTGATTCTACTCATTTGAAAAGAGTTTTGAGCTCAGCGTTGAAGATAATGATTTAATTAAATATCTTATTACTTCAACTTAAATGGATTAAGTTCACAGTACTCATTAGGATTAGTGTTTTTAACTCAAATGGTTGGTAGCAATCGGTTTCCTCAAATGGTTTGAGTTACTTTAACTTTTTGGGTTTTACAGTGTATGTTATAGAAAAATATTAAAAACAATTTTTTAAAAGAGCGAAATACCAATTAAATCAAGATAAGTAAAAAATAAACAATTTTAGTTGTAATTTTGTAGGTTGTAATTTATTTTGCAATATTTAGCTTGAATTGTTTTATCTTTAAATTTCTAATTATGTTTGGTAACTAAAATATTATTTTAAAAATATGCATTTGTTGATTAAATTTGTTTTGTTCAAATGCACCAAAATACACCTATATGCACTGAGAAATATTCATTTTCAAAATGGGTTGAACTCAATTATGCTGAGCACTGTCTCTGTGAGAATGCTCTTTTTGCACAGGAATAGTTCTTATTACGTTTGATTTGATTGGTTGGATCATTTTAGGGAATAAGCTGAATTGAGTCTGAATGATGGATTCATGAACTGAACATTAGCAGAATGGCAATTGCAGGAACAAGTCATAATTGTTACTAATTGTTAAACAAGTGACTTTAGGTTGTTAATTAGTGATGTAATGATAAATCGATTTGTAAGTCAGTAATTTGTCAGCTGAACTTTATTGTTTGGAAAAATTTCAAAGATAGTTGTAGAAATTTTTTTTTAATTTATCAATTGGTTTAAATCTGACAGAATTTGTCAATTGATGCAATGACATTAACACTACGTTCCATTCAGAAGGGCTAAAATAATTCTAAATATTGAATAATATTTAGAATAAGTTACTTTGTAATTTTTGTCTATTAAAAACAAACCAGTAATGAAAGATGACTTCACTTACAATAGATTGTATGTTTTCTTGCACAGCTGGATGTTGGACTTGAAAAATAATTGACAGATTTCGCCAAAACAGACTCCACTTCAGACCTTTTTCGGTGTGTCATTTTCACTATTTGTGATGGCATAGGAGTCAAAATAGGACAAATGAGCTCATGTATAGGACAAATACTGCACCTTTTTCAGTGTGGGTTGGGTCTTTCGAACCACCAGAACCCCCCTTGCTAAGGGCCTGTGTCAGTTGACTTATTAATGAGTGCCAGTTTTGAGCCTTCAATATGGCAGCCATGATTGTTTTCCCTCCTAGGTTTCTTTTGGCGGAAGATAAATCGCGATTGAAACTGACCATAATTGTTGAACAAGTTACTCAAGTAAGTTGATTTTTTTTATTGAATCAAATGGTTTGAATTAATCACAATGCTTTCCAAAACCAAGTCACATTAATTGTTAAACGAATTATTCAAATCTCAAGAATGATTATTGAGGGTTTTTTTTTTATTTTTGTTTTTTTGGCTGAATCGGTTAGAATGCTTTAGAACACTCGAACAACTCAATTATTTCGTCAAATAAAAATGTTGCTTCTTCGATTGCGTATGGAATCTAATTGATCAGAAAGAATCAAGAATCATAGCGAAACGGGCGACTTAAGAACTGGTTGTTAATTTACAGCTTCGTTGATTTGAATCAGACAGATTAAACTATTAAAGTCAGTTTGTCAGCTCTAATGATTAATGCTACTGTATTAATGCTACTGTTTGGCAATTGCTAAATAGTTGTCATTTCAAAGATGATTGTGGACAAATTATTCAAGAGCTCGTTATTTTAATGAATCAGTTGGATTAAATCAGACACAGTTTGTGAATTAAAGCAATAGTCAGTAATTCTTGAAATATTTGTTGAAGGACTCGTAAACGATTCTTTTAGCCAATGCTTCTTTAAACACTCAACTACAAGTCAGTTATTTTGTTCTGCTCGTGAACTAATTCTAAAACTGTTTCTCAACATTCCTGGAGGACCACTAACACGTTTTTGTCTGTCACACCCAATACAAGTATTTCAGTCTCTGCTAATGAGTCAATGATCTGAATCGTGTTTGGTTGAGGAGATATGGAAAATGTGCAGAGTTGATGGTCCTTTAGGTCGTGGTTGAGAAACACTAATAAAAACTTCTAAAAAGGTTTACATTTTTCTTGACCTTTTCACATTAACTCCTTGTGTCAGTGGCTTTTGTTAAACGATCCTTGGATATCTTTCTGATAGATCTTTCAAACATTCTCCTTTGAATGCAGAACACCTTTAGGGTCAATAAATCTGAAAATGTTCACTTTGAAGTGCCTATACCTGTACCAAACTCTTCCACAAGAGTGCAGCAGAGCTCAACATTAAAAGTAAAATTGGATGCGGCTCAAACTCTTTTGAACCTCTATATTTGTACTCTTTTTAAATCAAGTCGATCTTGTTTTTCCTAAGGGTTCGCATGCTAAAATGTGAGCTTACAGGATTTGGCTAGATTTCTCCTGAGGGGTTAAAGGATTTAGCGCTTCTCTGAAATTGTCAGGTCTGTATGTACTTAAGACGTATGCCGGCTTTATTCTCTCAGTTTGAGCATTAACCTGTCAGGTATTTGGAGACAGAGGAAAGGACTGGAAGCAAGCGCACACTTGGATGACTGCTTGCTTTAATTAACATCACCTCTGCAGTTCTTTTGGAAAAAAAGAAAAATGATCTAGAGATAGAAAAATCAAACATGTTCATTCATTGTCACACACTTCTTTAAGATAGTGAATTTTTTTCTTTGAATATATTTGTTAGTCTTGGTAATTAGAAAAAGGTATTTTCCAGAGTAAAATTAAGCTTTATTTATGACACACTTTATATTCATAATAACTCCTTTGCAAAAACATGTTGAATCTTTCAGGCCTTATTTGGTTTAGTTTGGTTTTGTTAAAGTGAAGTTGGTTAGACAGCCTTCTTGCTGAAAAAACACCTTGGAAAATTTTGGAGACTAGTGTAAACCAGTTAAGACCATCAAGCCAGTTTAGACTGGTTGAAAATGTGTGTTTTTTCCCTCTTTTTACTGCAGAGTCCTAATTGCCATTTACTAACTTCAGAAAACTCACACAGTGCGTTTGATGGATGAGCAGAATGATCATCATCATTCATTTCTCATTCAATGAACTAGTTAATTTTTCATCCATGAAAAAGAATTCGCAGATTTAAGAGCATCTCTATCCCTAACTTATTAAATGTACTGATAAAACCTTGTGTGTAGCTCCTTATAGTAACAGTATCAAGCAACCAGTTTTAAATATATTAAAGTTACTGGAAAAAATGAACTTAAAAAAAGAGTTATTGGTGAAAAATCAAAACGGTTCTGAAGTATGGTGACGTCTGTCATAGTCCATTTATATTAATATATAATGATCAGGTATTAATATTCTTTTTTCAAAATTTTTAAGTGTGAGTTAAGATAATGCTCATTTTTCAACAGCAACTTCAGAAAACACACAGAAGATGATCATCATGATTCATTTGTCACTGTATCAATTAGTAAATGTTTCATTCACAGACAAAAATATGAAGCCGACTTTATTCAAACTTATGCAAAATTTTGAGAGGACTTGATTGAGGTCATTGATTTTTATCAACCCTATGTTATCCATAAAGAGGATTGGCTACCCTGTGAATTAAACTCATTTCGACCGCTTGTATCCGAGATCACCTTTCGGTGATGACCCAAATCTCATGACCATAAGTGAAAGTAAAAATGTAGATAAATTGAGTGCTATGCCTTTCTGCTCAGCTGCTTCTTTACCACAACAGACCAGTACATCGACCACATTACTGCTGCTGCTGCACCAATCCGCCTGTCAATCTCACACTCCATCCTTCCATCGCACTCATGAACAAAACCCCAAGACACTTGAACTCCTCCACCTGGGATAAGGACTTTCCTCCAACCTGGAAATGGCAAACCACCTTTTTCTGGTTGAGCAAAAGTGAAGTTTAAATCTGGTAAAAGTGTGTTTTCATATAGGTCTCTGGTAACTGGAATAATCAGTCCTTGCGTCTGCAGTTCCACAGGTAATAAACAGCTGTATTTTTCGATAATTTACTCATTTTAAACATTTTTTTATGGAGATGGGGACACAGTAGAGAATAACCTGATCTCTAAAACCATATAAGAGTTATTGCTTTTTTGGGATTGTTTTAATGTCCAAACGGTCACCAGATTTTGGAGTGCAAATTTCTGAGAACAAGAATCCTGTCAAACAATCCATTCAATACTCTTTTAAAAAGGTACTTCTGTTTCAGGGCTGACGTGGATGTTTATTCCAGTCAATCTGCAACCAGCTTTTTGGTAAAATCACAATAAACAGGTGAGCCAAGTTTTTTTTTTTTTTTTTTTTTTTGTATTAAAATAGTATATTTGTCTGTCCTAGGACTTTTTGATGATGTGCTTATGTCTTCTAAGGGTTTAGGTTACTGTATTTTCATCAACATGATCACAAAGGATGATGCAAATTTTACATCTGAAACATTTTTTAATGTTAAAGTAACTTTGTTTTGACATTTCAACTTTGTTGCTCATAATGATATTTAATATTGTGCATGGAGGAGATTCACAGTCACTTATTAAATTTAGGAGTTCCCACTTAGATATGCTTAGTGTTAATAGCAGGTTTGGCATGCTGTCCCGGAAGAGAACCCTGAGCTCGGAGATACTTGAGCCAAAG